GTGCAGGCCGTGCCTCGTGCAGGTCAGTGCAGGCCGTGCCTCGTGCAGGTCAGTGCAGGCCGTGCCTCGTGCAAGTCAGTGCAGGCCGTGCCTGGTGCAGGTCAGTGCAGGCCGTGCCTCGTGCAGGTCAGTGCAGCCAGTACCCCGCAGTTAGTGTGCAGGTCATTATACATAGTGATTAGGTTGTCACGCAAGTGTTCTTAACATGAAGAGCGTGAAATTTGCTGTCGTGGTTGTTATGAAGAGTGAAGGCCCTACCTATATCGCTGAGAGCAAAAGGCCTCATGTCTAGCCCGATAACTGTGCGATTAGCATCCCTATATTTATTGCTATACCTGCTTGAATATACATATTTGCTCTTATGCCAGCGTTTGTTAGGTTGACTGTACAAAATATGAGACAAGCTGACGTTTGTGTGGTGTCAGGCGATGGTGACTCCTGAAGAGGCGCGTGATGGCTACCAGGGACCAGTGTACCCCCAGAAGGAGTACATCCTTGACGACGACGAGTGCCCTCTTGCCATCCTCATGAACCACTCCAACGCCACCGGTGAGTACCTACCCCTCACACACTCATGGTGAGTGCTCAACACTCGTCGTACGCTACAACACTCGTCAACACTACTTCACGTACTACGACTTTGTCGTAGGTACTAATGTACCAACACTAGGTATGATTACCACCATGTACCACCATGATTAATGTACCAAAAGTAGGTAATGTTGGTGCGATTGTAACGTTGAAAAAATCATGCAGTGTAACGACTGTTACATGAAATTCACGAGCTGAATTCGAGGTGAAGAAGCGACGCCCGTGGCCAGTTTCTTTGAACGCGATGTTTTTAGCTTGTTATTCATACTTATTTTCACTGCGCACCAACGCTGTTTTTCCATCACGTACAAGGGTGACTGCATTAGAGTGTCCGAAATCAGCGGCGTTTTCTACTGGACATTTGATGGCAGAGAAAATTTTTCGGGATGCCTTACGGAAATTTAATTCATTCAACACTCATTTTTGTTTTTATTTAAAATAAAATGTCTTAGTGAATTACACGTTACACGTTCTCCAATGCCCTCATGTGCGTGCGCGCAAACGTTGGTGGGGTTTTTCTTCAATTATGGAGTATTCACGGTATTATTATGAATATGAATTGTAGACCTTGTCCAAGTGAATGAATTGCAGACCTCGGCTAAATGAATGAATTGCCGACCTCGGCTAAGTAGATCAATTGCAGACCTCGGCTAACTGAATGAATTGCAGACCTCGGCTAACTGAATGAATTGCAGACCTCGGCTAACTGAATGAATTGCAGACCTCGGCTAACTGAATGAATTGCAGACCTCGGCTAACTGAATGAATTGCAGACCTCGGCTAACTGAATGAATTGCAGACCTCGGCTAACTGAATGAATTGCAGACCTCGGCTAACTGAATGAATTGCAGACCTCGGCTAACTGAATGAATTGCAGACCTCGGCTAACTGAATGAATTGCAGACCTCGGCTAACTGAATGAATTGCAGACCTCGGCTAACTGAATGAATTGCAGACCTCGGCTAACTGAATGAATTGCAGACCTCGGCTAACTGAATGAATTGCAGACCTCGGCTAACTGAATGAATTGCAGACCTCGGCTAACTGAATGAATTGCAGACCTCGGCTAACTGAATGAATTGCAGACCTCGGCTAACTGAATGAATTGCAGACCTCGGCTAACTGAATGAATTGCAGACCTCGGCTAACTGAATGAATTGCAGACCTCGGCTAACTGAATGAATTGCAGACCTCGGCTAACTGAATGAATTGCAGACCTCGGCTAACTGAATGAATTGCAGACCTCGGCTAACTGAATGAATTGCAGACCTCGGCTAACTGAATGAATTGCAGACCTCGGCTAACTGAATGAATTGCAGACCTCGGCTAACTGAATGAATTGCAGACCTCGGCTAAATGAATGAATTGCAGACCTCGGCTAAATGAATGAATTGCAGACCTCGGCTTAATGAATGAATTGCCGACCTCGGCTTAATGAATGAATTGCAGATCTCGGCTCAATGAATGAATTGCCGACCTCGGCTAAATGAATGAATTGCAGACCTCGGCTAAATGAATGAATTACAGACCTTGGCTAAATGAATGGATTGCAGACCTCGGCTAAATGAATGGATTGCAGACCTCGGCTAAATGAATGAAGACCTCCCGCTGCAGTTTATATAAGTCTTGCGTACAGGAGTTGGTGTCAGTGTGTCGGGGCTCGTGGTGGGGTGCGGTGCGTGTCGCGGGTGCCGCTCAGGTTTACGTGTTTACAGGTGCAGTGTGACCGGGCTGGAGTATAACTTTTCTATTGCTCCTATACAGTCAATGGATGTCTCTTGAACATTTTACAATTAAAAATTCTGCTAGCAGCTGGAAATGTAGTTTCATCTTCTTTTAGAAGTACACCCAACTATTATCGTTTGAAAACGGATCAATTTTTGTATTAAAACTTTGTTGAAATGTCAACTAAACAATTCAAAAACGAATTGATAAAGTTTCTATCAATGCGCACTTAAAGAATATATTAGATTGAAATTAATGTATTAAAATTCCTATATTCCACGCTGTTCTTACCTTAAATGTGGCAGCAGAAGTGTAGAATCATTCATTTCCAAATCACATTATCAAAATTGTTATCTATAATGCATATCCTACAGAAATTCTGCATTTATTTATCTTTATGAGAGTTATTTTGTCATCTTCTATCTTTCTGTGTGCACACGATCGATGAGTCATGTTGACGTCGAATAAAGTTGTTCAGAAGTTCCACCGAAAAGTTATTGACTCTATGAGGCTCATTACAGAATGGCCTCAGAATTACTCCTTTTTCACCTTATCATCGTCTCAACTTATACCGCCGCTTATGATTAATTTCGTACTAAGATTAATTGATTGTTGGAATCGCAATTCAACAAGTAATTTAAAAACTAGGAAGATTACACAGAAATTTACTGTATCTTTATATGGTGGATTATAAAAATACGGGGAATTTCTGTGGCATCTTCTTTGTTTTTAAATTCCTGATTAATTTCGTATATCAGATTGACTATACAAGGTGCGTTCATGCCAGGTATGCGACTATAGGATGAGGGATGACTTCGGGTGTGTTCATCCTTCGGCTATCCCTTCATCCTTTGGAGTCTCGTGTGAATTATTCATGATCGATTTACGAATAATTAAATTGCTAAAAAATGCTCAGTAAAAGAACACGGTACTTCGCTTAGCTGGGGAACTATATTTAGTGCGAAAGATTCTCCTACTACACCTGGAAGCGTTTCATTAATTAATTTTTAAACATTAATTTTTCTATTTGACTTCTTTCATCTTCCTTATAATTCTAAAAGAGTTCAATTGTACTGAATTATCATCGCTCGTAGGTTACCAACTCTCTCAAGTTCGACGTTGTTTCAACGAAAGTATTTTTACAGTGCATGACCTTATGTTTTAGCGAAAGTCTTTATACATTGTTTAGCTAGTCCATGGAGCGTAAATGAGTAAACTTTGCAGGATCCCTGTCCAAGTCAGATAGCTTTTAAAATTACTTCTTGATGTTAAGAAAGTAACTTTTCTTGCTACAACTTCCGTACTTGGCGATAATAGTATCCTCTTAGTTTAATTATTCGCGCGGTGAATTCTCTGTAGAAAGTTTGCTAATTTTTTAGTTGAATAAGAAAATTTCACTTCGTGAAGCGCTTACAAAACAGAGAATTGCGAAATGCTTTGATGATTACCGTTAATTTTGAGTTGTGTTGAAGCTGACAGGAATTTTCGCGCAATGCCATCAGCTGACGCTAATTGGACGCTTGTATGCTTAGAGCCTCACACCGCCGGTGCGCGGTGCAAGATTTACACAAAAGAATTTCCCTCCCTTTAGAAGTTCGTGAAAATGAATAATATAATTTGAACGTTGATATAAGCGCGAGGCAATATTGATGCTTCTAGGAACTATTAAGTTTTGATTTGTGTCTCAATTTGCAACGAGCTTATGATCAATGAGGCACGTTGAGGCTCAACGGCAACTGTAAACATGCACTGAGCATTATTCATTTTTATAGGATGTGGTGATTGTTATAATCATGAGATCAAGTAGTCAATTTATTCATAACGAAATATGGGTGGAAATTCAGTTTAAAGCCAGCGAGTTTACGTTTTAAATTGGTTTGTTAAAGGCTTACGGGAAAGAGGCTTATTAAGAGCCGGAACAAAGACGGAAAAGGCTTATTAACGTGAAATTTAGTTGATGCTGATTCACAAGAAGCTATGGAAGCCTTGAATTGATGGGAAATTGCATGGAGAAGAGTACGCAAAAATATTATTGGTTCCGTTAAAGATTATTATGTGACAGTTACTGTTATTATGTATGTAAACAAATAATTTGTTCCTTATAATTTTGCAGGAATTTTATATGTTTTCCGTAGCTTAAGGTGAAGCGTTGAGATGAAGTCTCTTTTTAATGTGCTTTCTCAAGAAATGAAAACCATCAGTCGAGAGGTCACATCACAACGTTCATGTTTTCTTGCGAAATCCTGACTTTGGCTCCTTCCTATAAATTGGATTCCCTTCGAATCAATTTCCTTCGTCAAGGCCCTTTTGCAAGGTCCGCGTTTTTTACGATTTTGGAAGTTTGTGGACGATCAGAGCTCGCTCCTGTTGGGGTTGGATATGAACCCCAGAATAGAGGGAGTGTCACCCCTTTGTCCTGATAAGTTCTATTTTATGCTTTGTCTTGCCGAGTTTATTTCGGTGAGTGCAATGTACCCCAAAACCAGCTGTACCTAAACTTTAAACGTAAAAAGGAAAATAATCTACAGAACTCGATATTACTTGAGAGTTCCGAGCATAGTTTACACAACGCATGTGCTCAATGTGGCGGAAATATGAATCCAATGTACATCGATCTTCCTCAGCTAATGAAATATAACAAGGGTTGCGGGATAGTGGGATGTTGAGGGTAAGTTATAATTTGTGCAATGAAGAGCCGGTTATTGCGGACCTATGACTGCTAGGGCTTAGAATAAAGAATAAGGCAGTACCTGAATGGTCTAAAGAAAACAGATAAATGAAAATTATAAACGGATAAGTTTGTTTGCGTGGGACGGTAAAGCACCTGATAATAAAGATAATGTGATCATCTACAATTGGTGTTGGCTTATGCGGCTCGGAAAGTGATCCATGCGACGCCCTCATTAATTATTAGTGAAGTGGTGGTGGTGGCTATTTTACGACGCTGCCTCATTTTCGTTGGCTTATTTCTACACTCTTTTAGCTTTTATTGAAGCCTGAGATCAGGCCCCTAGATATAGATCCAAAAGAATCGAATTACGTTTAATGTTGATGACGGAATTGATTTAAAAGAAATTGATGTTTTTATCCGATGCTTGTTCGCCGGCTGCCTTTAAGTTTGCACAGGACCGTAATCCGCAGCGAAAACACTGCTGACCAACTCGAATTTGTCCATTGGGGTCGTGATTTCTGTGTTGCAAATTTTGAGACTGAATGTTTGGGTTTTGAGTGAA